ACAAAAAAAGGAAAATGAGTTTAAAATAAAAACTAACAACTTTTCAGCACCGGCTTTGTTTTTTTTTTATTAAAAAGCTTTTTCTTTTTGCTTAGTAGGCGTCTACACTTAATATGTAAATATTTTGTTCAAAAAAGGCTGGAGAAAAGGCACAAATCCAGGCCTCAAACTGTGAGGACAACATTTAAACACAATGCCTACACAACTTGTCCCAAAATAAGCTCGTCGAGTCACACCGTTTGTTGCATTAGCCACCATATTAGCAAAATGAAACTTCGAAAATTGTTCGTTTTCATTACAGAATTTATTCGTTAACTCTTCAGTGAACTAACAAAGTTTTCTTTTGAATTCTCTATACCTGCAAAAAAGGTAGGGTTGTCCAAATGAATTACCAAAAGTGTTATTTGTTTATTTAAAATTGTCAAATCATTTTCCACGAATGGTGAATCTTCTATAACTGCACTTTCGCAGCGAGGAAGACATTTTTACCCTTATTGGATTCGTCAATAAGCAATTTGGCCGAATCTTAGGTAGTCAGCAGACTCAAGTAGCCGCTTAGAGGCATTGTACCCGCAGTCACTTGGTCTTCGATAATGACTTAACCCTTTCGATCCGAACGGGACACATACGTCCATAACTAAATCAGAAACTACGTATTGGAATTGGGTTATATATCACCCGTCTGGTATTTTGAGGTTCAGATTCTAAATGACTTTGGACAATTTTTTTTTTGATTTTTTGCGTTTTTTAGGTACAATGTCAGAGTCAAAACGCACCCTCTTTTTAGTTTAACACAGTAAACCAGTGCCAACAAAAAAGTGTTTGTCAAATTGTTTCTGGTTGTCGAAAATCATGTATTTTCTAATATTATTGATCCCCCAAAACATACAAATACAAAAAATATTTACCCTAAAATTGGTTATTTTTTCCAAGTTATTAACAAGGCGCCGCCAGATTGGCCATTTCGCCCACAGTGCGTGGAGGACATTAGAGGTAGAGTGTAATGAAATAAAAATTCCATTTAAATACATATGAATACTCAATGTTTTTTAGTTAAATTTTTCCAGGGAGCAAATGGTTGACCCTGTAGTTTAAAATTGTGATAAATACCTACACGCTTTCAAATTATGTCTGCTGTGCTGCAAATCCCTTTCTTCCGTTTCTGTATGAAAATAAGACTTAAAAAGGCTTAACTCCATACAACTTCAACCGTAACCAAACTGCGTTACTACCAACAAATAAATTATTTAAGTCATAGACAAGTCGATAAACTATTTCGGCTCGTATTTTTTTTTTTTTCGTTTTCATTTTCGCTGTGTCATATTTAAACAATGCGCAGCCAAAAGTCTCGTGGGTCGTTGATATTGATTATTCTCATGAATTTATGTACTTATTTTCTTGCGCTAACAAACTTACTGCAACATAGTGCGCTTGTTTGCTTGCCAACACGATTTCTTGTGAAATAAAAAAAGAAATTGTAGACGAAGAACAACAATAAAGATAACAACGAAAAAATCATGCTGAAACGAAATGATATTGCAGCAATAAAATATTGCCAAACTAACGAATTCAATTGGCTTGTCATGTGAGCTAACGTGCCATATAAAAAAAAGTACTAAAAAGGTAGTAAATTTAATAAAGTATTTTTTATTCTTTTTATATTTTCCAAAATGGTTAATAGGAAATATTTATCATTGTTGCGCTTTTATTGAAATCGAAAAGCGTAACTACAGTTAGGTTAAATAAAACCGCAATAGAAAATGCATTCAAAATCATTGACCGGATTTTATCTTTTAGTGTATAGTAAAATGAGGAACTCATTACTTTGCCTTGTAATTAAATAGTATATTTGAGGGCATAATTAAGTACAATAGCTTTCTAATGAACAAAAACCGCATCAGCATGTCCAGAGTTAATATAGTACGCACTACAATGAACATACATATGAACATTAAGGTGGTCCTAAAATACATGTGAGAAAGTTAAGTCAGAATTTCTATGCTATCATCCCCTAGGATTGTTTTTTACCGAAATAAAAAATTTACCCATGGCGGAATTATACCAGGTGAAGTAATTAGAGCGAGAAGAAAGATTTTGACACTGCCTTATATGAAAAATTGCCTTTAATTTGTGTCTATAACGCAGCCGAATGTCAGAAGATAAAGCGAGAAAGCTGTTTTATTACTTCACCTGTTTATTGCGCCATGAATTTACCTACTCCTATTTTTTTTTTATTTTGAAATCAAAAAATATTTAGTGCGACCTCAAGCGCTCAAAGTTGTCCGTGTATTTTTAAAAACAACTTTTTGAAGAAATGGTACATAGTTCTTGAAAAGCAATATTTTTGAATCGGAAAACCCTATTTCTCTTCAGTAGATTCCAAATAATAACACACAATAGTTTATTTAACAATTTTTTCATAGTAACTATATTTTATAAGGCCGCTCGAAACCCCAGAAAACGCAATGGGGGTACCAATAAAAATCTTTAGTATTAAAAATGACTAAATAAACAATTGGGTATTATTATCGGAAGTCTCCTGACTACGAAAAGTTGTTTTTTTTCCATATAAAATGCATGGAAAACTTTGAGTGCTTTGAGCGAGCTCTAAATATTTTTTGATTTCAAAATAAAGAAATAGTTGTATACTTTTTTCGATATAGAACAATCCTAGGGGGTGAGAGCATTAAAATTCTGACTTTACTTCTTTGGACCACCCTAATGTATATATGTATACTGTGAGTACAACAACATGCCAACATTTGCAGTCAATGGAAATGAATGAAGCGCAACCAATGCTGCACACTTTCGTTACAAACCGCTGAGCAATAACATTGAAAAAGGGAACCCAATATTGTTAAATAATTTCAGCATAAATAAATAAATATGCGTAACTACACACTTAGATAGTTAAATGCATAAAGCATAAAAATCACATAACTGAGAGGCACGCATTCCACTTTGTCATTCATAAAACAAACAAAAAATCTGATTTATCTATGAAAAATCTACACAAACAATTCCGTGTTTTTTAAAGTCACGCTTAGTGAATTTTAGCAAAAACTTCGACTTGTTAGCACATTCTCAAGCAAGACTTTATGTGACTGCAAGTGTATACACACAGACATATGGCGTACGTATGTATGTTTGTCAAATTACTGAAAACCATAAATTTTATTTATACAAAAAATTAGCAAATCCTTTGTCATCCGAACTGTGTGCGAACCCCTTTATTTATTTCTTTAATTATATTATGTAGATTTTATTTATTTGATTAAAAGTAGCTTTTTTACCAGCAGATGATGTCATCTCTGTTGAATTTTGTTTTTCTATTTGTTCTTGTTTCCTACCAACAGTCGCTAAATTCGTAGTTTATTGATTTATTTAATACATATTCTACTAACTACTTACATACATACATATGTATATACAAACTTACAGCTGTTTGCACATAAATTATTGAGTAAAAAGGGAACACCCACAAGGCTTTATGGTGTCATATGCCTCTAATGAAAAAAATACATTTTCTGCCAAGCCAGCAGTCTTCAGCAGAGCTAACTATACAAGCCCCCCCCCCCATAAATCTAGAAAGAAGTGTGATGGGCAGATAGTTATGGTGATCTCAAAAAGAACAGCTTCAACTTGTACCGCTTAGCCTGAAGCCGTTCTGACATTGAATTTGGCACAACGCCGTCTCAAAAATAAATTTGACAAGGTATGACGGAAATTCATTCCAAAAATACACCAACAAATAGTAATTTTTCATAAGCGATTACGTATTCTAACTCTGCTACATATTCTAACTCTATTTCACTATGAATTTTCATCCAAATTTAAAATTTTTTTCTCAGAAAAAGAATCTTTTTGAGTATACACTTTTGTAGCCCATTAAATTGTATTGCAATAATATGCAAGTTTAGGCCAGACGTACGAGAAACTGCGGTCGTTGGAATCCCCAGGTTCCTCGAGCTTGTACTTTGCCTTTATAACCGCCCATTGCATAGTCGACTTTGATTAATATTACGCAACATGGCGATGACTAAAGGCTCAGTTATGCATACTTGGCATTGCATGAGAGTTGGCACATAAGGAATCTGTTAAATAAGCTTTGCGTGTAAGCGGTTACCCAACGCACAGAATTATATATGTAAAAGTTGATTGAGTTTTGATTTCTACGTAAAAATGAAATTCTATGCAGTGCAGTGCAAAGTATGCATAACCGAGCTACAAGCCTACTTTAAATTGCAAGTTGTGAGGTGAAAGCCTGGGAAACATTCCGAGAATTCGAGAATTCCATAGGATATGGTAATTCACTACTTCGTCCTGATTGATGGCTGTGTCAACCGATTAAAAAAAAAAATTTGAATGGTCACATCATCGTCATTTGTGGTTTCTGTTTCGTAAGTGAAATAGGACAACATTTTTGCTTAAATTTCACATGAATTTTAAAATCTATTTGAGGAAATGGTCCTTCGACAGATATTTTTGTTCTCGACTTTTTCCAAGACTAATGCTGGATTTCCACTAGGCATTGAAATTACGAAAAATTGGTGAAAATGCCTGCTGGAAATGAACTTAATGACTATTTTTTTAACATAATGACTTGAATATTTTTTAATGACAAACTTTGTCATTACAATTTTTGCCATTTAATGCCTAGTGAAATCCTGCATAACACAGAGCAATTTTTTATTGTCAGCCTATTCCTCTGAGTCATTTATAAATTTCCTCCTTTCCGAATCATCTCAGCATTGGGATGGACAGTAAAATCTATTCCGCCATTTTCGAATTATTAGTTTTTAATTTTTTTCGGCCTTTTTTAAGTCTGTTTTAACTCAGTGTGGATGTTCAAACAAACAAAAGGAAAGAAGAATCATCCCGATCGGTCAAGTCTTCTTTGATTTTTTGCAGGAATATTGGAGTTTTTCACAATATTCTCAAGCTTTTATGAGATTAACACACAGCTACTTATATACTAGATGCTAACTTATATAATTTACCTCTTTTCTCCCTTATATGACTGTCGTATTGGGAGTTGCTGCGTGCGAAATTAATCGCTGCCATTGTGGATTGGAATTCTTGGTATTCGTCTTGAGTACTTTGTTGTTGTAGTGTCTGATGTCCTGTCAGACTCTTACCGAAAGTACTGCTGGCAGTTGTCGTTGAGGGGGTTGTCGTCGGTGTATTTATTGCACTTGCACTTGAACTCGGATTGTGACTCTGACTCACACCGGCTGATGTCTGGCTTGGCTCCACATGTGTGGGCACAATAACCAGATCCTTGGCAGCCACACCCTCCGTATCTGAGTCGTCACTTAGTTCACTTCTTAGTGGGCTTTCGCCCTTCGATTGTCTAATCGTCGTACCAGCGATACGCACATTCGCACCGGATAAAGCTAAACCGGTTGGGCGCGGCGACTTCCCGGCATTAACTTCACGCTGTTGTTCCTCATATAATTCACTACGGTCTTCACTCGCGTGCTTACTAGTGGTCACTTTCGTTGTTGTTGTCGTTGTCGTTTTCTTTTTTCTGCTGACAACTCGTTGCGATTCTTCCGCGGAAGAACCGTGCGATTGGCTCGTCTCTAATGTACTAGCCGTATGCGTCGTACCAGTCGCTATTTGTCCTGTCGCGGTTTCGCCTGTTCGTGTACTGATTTTTACTACTTTGCCTGGAGGCGTTGTTGTTGACTCCGTCATTTGCCATGGTGCTTGTTGATGATATGTTTGCTCTTGTTGTTTTTGTTTTTGTGTTTCCATAACCATGTTGCCTACACTGCTTTCGGTTTGCATTTGTTGTTCCTGCCGTTGCCGTTGCTGTTGGTAATACCGTTGGCCCGACTGTTGCGGTTGCGTTTGCTGTTGATGAAGCTGCTGCTGGTGATGGTGGTGGTTGTGGCGGTGCGTGCTACCAACCGTAATGTCAATGTTACCAGGTGACGTTTCCATCGCAACGTTATACAATGTACCGGAAGCATGGCCACCGCCGCCGTCTGGACTGCGTGCCAACTGACGTATGCGCGCTTGCACCGCCGAGTCAGTAGTGTCGTAGATTTCGTGATGTGTGCTCGATTCGTTAGTTTCATCCTCCAGACGTATTAGTATACGGCGACCACCCGCTGTCATGTCGACAGAGCGGGGTGGCGTCGCGCTTGTGCGTCCGCTTAAGGAGCGTGGCACGGAACCTTCACGCTCGCTTTCCGAGGACTCAAAGAACGGGCGATTCTCGCGCTGCGGTGAGCAACGTGGTGACACATAGCCTTCACCGTGACGAAATATTTTCTCTTCGTGCTTGCGCCCATCACTTGTCATGGACGATGTTACAATGGTGCGTACACCATCGACAGCATGCAGCTCACGCACTGTCTTCTCGGACTCCAAAAATTGTGCAGTTGCGCTTTTCGGATCACCAGTAGTAGTGGGAGTAAATGGTTGCGCGCGACGCGTTGTTGTGCGTAGTGTAACATTAAAGGGGCTGCTAGTAGTCGATGAGGTCTCTTCATATTGCTGCGCGCTGGTCGAGAGATCCTTCTTCACTATGCGATGCGTCGTACGCAGTGTCACATTGAAGGGACTTAACGGCGGCGCCTCATCAGCGCCCATATAACCCGATTCATCGCCAGGACTTAACTTAGTAGTCGTGCGTAGTGTCACATTAAAGGGCACAGCAGTGTAATCTTCCTCCACTTCCACGCGACGCGGCGATGCTTGTGGCGTATGACGCAGCTGCACCTGTTGGAATGCCAGTTTAGCAGCCTCGGCCTCAGCCAGCCCACGTTGGCGTTCCCTACGCAAACGTTTCTCAATCTCCAGCACATCAATATCAAAAGGATTATCCAGCGGCTCAGCAGCGCCAAAGGCATCTTGGCTTGTGTACTCTGCAGTTGGCTTCGAAGTTTCCACAAATTCGCGACGAAGCTCTTCAGCGCTTTCGTCCGGTGAACGCTTAAGGCTGCCGCCCGAGGACCAAACCTTTTCATACTCAGCCACTTTTTGACGCAAGCGATGTGACGGTGTGGTCGGCGTATCCAGCTCTTCCTCTGCTACATATTGCATAGAACTCGAGCTGGAGCTACTCTCATGGAACTCCGTGGAATGGTGTATAATTTTATGCGAGGTATACGTGCGCGTGATTGTCGATGTCTCCAGCTGTTCACTTAGTACGTCATTCTCCTCCTCCTTCTGCTCAATAAAAGAGCTGGCGTGCGGCGCAGCTGTTTCAAACGCTGACGATGCGGAGGAAGACGCATCAGCTGTGCGATTTAGGCGCCGCGTGCGTGCAGCTGGAATGGGCGCTGGTGCTGCATCATACTCCTCCAGTTTGGTATTACGGGCTCGACCCACAGCAGCAGCTGCTGCTGTTGTTGCAATGGGTGGGTCTTTATTTTTTCCTGGATCTTTGTCCATGACATCGATATGTTTATTGTAGTTGTTGTGCTTGTCATGTACGTCCAGTCGGCAGGACAACACATTGAGTTGGTTGTCTCACGGCTTACGTTGTGTTGTGTGTGTACGTCGCGCAGCAATGCCCAGACAGTGTTCAATGTAAAATGTGTCTCGGATTGAAACTCCACATGCAAGGAAATCGATTTTTCTCACGAGCACATAACGCGATTCGACTGACTGACTTGGTATATGCGTCTGCAGGAGTTTTCGTTCCCACAGCACTCGCTTGGCGTGCGCGTGCCAAAACAAAATTTAACAAAGAAATTACAACACAAACTTGGACTATGAAGAAAATTTAATTGCGTCTTGGTGTGCTAAGCAGCACCGCGTCGTGGATTATAGATATGTATGAATTTACGTTTAACAAACACAATTCACTTTTTCCACTCACTTTTTCACGTTTTGCGCACCCTTTCACTTTAAGGGGCTCTCAAATTTTCATTCATTAATTTTTTCCAATTTCTCTGGATTTCTTATTCGTTGATTGATAAATTTTTTTCCCCAACAATTTTTCAAAACTACAGTGCAAGTGCTGTACATATGTATGTATATTTTTACCGTAAGCTTAAACGGTTCACATTAAAATGCTAATTCACACAAATGGCGTTCGTTTGAGTAGGTAATTGGGTGGCCTTTTTCACAACTACTTCATACAATCTTTTTTTTTCCTTTCTCAAGGTGGGGGTATGCAAAAAAAATATTAAGTAGAAAAATATGTATGTATGTACTAAATAATTTTGTGCGTTTTTTCGCCTTTTCGCTGTATATTTTTCCAATCCGTTGCAGTAGAAAGCCGGTTCGATACTGAAATCTAGACTGGCCAGCTAAACCTAATGAGCTGCTTGCTTGCTGCTACACCTTTTTCTCGTTGCTCCAAAGCGAGCGCTAGCGACACGAAGGCACAGCTTCATTTGGGAGCACAAGCTGATTTTTGAATGGAAACGAGACGGTAAGCGTCTCCAGCACACCACACTATTACTAAATGCATACATTTGTACATAAAAACGTAGTATTTAGCAGTAGCACAGAGAGAGCATCGGTATTTTCGACTGAGCTTCTTACTACGTTTTACGTTCGGCTACCATCACCACACCACACCACCGTAATATCCGTAAAATACCAGCACAATCTCGTTGAGAATTGGCGTAGTGGACGCATGTTAGCTGTGAGCTTGCTGTGAGTTTGCTGCTTGTGCATCGCTTGTAAAACTGTGCCATCGCAAGTCGACTTATTAGGAGGGTTGATAAGCCCAAAAAGAGTACGTACTCTACGCTAACTCTGAAGCTCTCTTTACTTGACTTGTTGGCGCGCTTTGTGGGCCAATGCATGCACGCTTTGTTGGTGAGGTGGTTTTGTTTTGTATGTGACATCATCATCGTAAACATTTCACGCACATTGGACGAGCATGAAAAAAGAAATGAAAACGAAAACTGCGCTACACAGAAAATAAGTGGTCTATTCAGATATATGTAATAAGTAGAGCTCGACTTTTTCTGTTAAAAATAAGCCTAAAAATACATACCAACATAACTTTAAAGGGTAGTATTTATGTGTAGGCCTATTTTTGAGCATATTACAATAATTCACTCCATCACTTTTTACATATCTGCGCGTCGATTAGAGATGAGTTGGAGACTGATGTTGGAATCAACTTGAGAACTATGAATTTCTCCAAGGTTAGGAAACATTTTTTTGGTGTTTGTTGGTAGCATTCCTGAAGCGCATCTCTTTACCGACCCTAGGGCTTCGATTGCAGCTTTACTGTCCACAACGAAGGCAAGTTTAGTTGGAGGTAGGTCAATCATGCTTACCAGCTTTTCCGCCATTCAAATTGCGTATAGCTCAGCCTAGAATAAGCTGCAGTAATCTGGGCGTCTATAGGACTCTTTCAAAGATAGATTATAAACCACTAATTTTTGAGTTGAAATTTCATATTCATAAAAAAAAAACTTCTTACACCCATATGGTCCACCTGTATTTACCTATCGACGGCTGAGTGGAAGATCCACCTATCTAGGCAGCCGGTTCGAAAGCCCCTTATCTCAAAAAATGGCTCAAAAACGTCCTATTTCAGAATCTGGTTGAAGAGCATCCTATCTTAGAATTTGATTTAATAACGCCTTATCTCAAAAATGGCTCAAGAACGCCCTTTTTCAGAATTTGGGTGAAAACGCCCTATCTCAACAAATGGTCTCAGCCGCCGATATATTTAATTTACAATGAGATAGGCCGTTTATGAGCCATCTGCTGAATTAGGGCGTTTTTCAACCAAATGCTGAGATAGGGCGTTCTTTAATCAAATTCCGAAATAGGGTGTTCTTGGAAAATTTGCTGCGATAAGCCGCGCCGCATTTTTGATTTGTGATTTGATTTGTTGGACAAATGAAAATAAAATTTATTTGCGGTTTGATTCATCGACCAAATAAAAAGCAAATTTCATTTTCTCGAAAATCGTGCTTGCGTTACATAAGAAAAGTGGTTTTAGTTCGAAAATCACGAATAAAATTGATTTGCCCAACAAATCAAATCGCAAATAAAATTTTTTTTTTATTTGTTCGACGAATGATATTACAAATAAATTTTATTCATGATATTTAGCCTCATTGTAGAGCTGGAAAACTATCGATAGTCGTGGCCATCGATAGTTTCGATAGTCGATAGTCACAACCATCGATAGTATCGATGTTTTCGATAGTCAAAAACTATCGATACTATCGATAATCCCATCAATAGTTTTCCAGCTCTACCGCATTGTGAAAATTACTTGCACTGGACACGACGCTCGCAATGAGGCTGATTAAATTTATATTATCTTTTTAGGATTTGATACAACCTCAATTCAGAAATCAATTTTTAATTTGGATTTGGGATTTGACTAATTAAAAATGACGCATGCCTGATTTCTTGAATTTCCCTTTCAACGCCATGCCGGACAGCCGCACTTTGCCCATTAACGGTACAAACTTTTAAGGTGCATACTCACAAATTATATTCTTCGATCATTTTCTGTGTTCGTCATGAAAACTATGTGGTCTTATCCGAAGATTTCTTTCACCTTACATTGGAACTTTTTTTACTGGTCCCAAACCGGCGCACCGTTATGTTAGTATGTATGTATACAATTTCATTAAAGAAGATCGTCTTTATAACGCCACGTAACAATATTGAAGGTATGTATTTGTGTAAGTTCATACATACATATGTACATATTTGTAGAGCACTACACTATCTGCGTTCACTTATTGCAAATTTACTAACCTCGCTTTATTTACCCACAAAGGCGAATCTCAAAAGATCTCTCGAGATAAAAAGCGTTCAGCACTTGGGGCATTTAATTCAACAATTGATAAAAGTAATGCCAATAAAACCACAATACAGTTGCGCAGAATTTAATACCATACACATAGATATGTACTTACATACTTATGTACTTACATACATTAACATTACACTTTCGTTATTGTACAAGGTCAGTTTGGATACTGGTATACATATATGTATGTATGTATGTATGTAATTATATGTACATACACACATACATACATTCTTAAATATTTACAAAAACAACAATATGTTTTTTTCATATCCCCAAACAAGCCCCCAGTACAGCCATTTACAATAAAAAACCAACACTTATAAAAATAATATTCCAGACTTACTACATATACGTATTTACATTGGGGTGTTCCAAAAAAAAATAAAATCGGAATTTTTATTCTCTCACCCCTTAGAATTTTTTTCACCCAAACAAATTATGCCGCTGTTTTTTTTATTTTGATATCAAAAAATACTTATATGTCGCTCAAAGCGCTCAAAGTTTTCCATGGATTTTATATGGGGAAAAAACAATTTTTCGTAGAAATAATATAGAATTCTTGAAAATCAATGTTTTTCGTTCGGTAAACTTTGTTTCTCGTCCAGTAAAAATACCTAGTTATTTATTTAACCATTTTCTGTTATCAACTATTTTTTATAGGACCTCTTAAATGGCAAAAAATGCAATTCGGTACACAAAAAAATCGCTGGTATTAAAAATTTGTATAATAAACAATTGAATAATATTGCTGGCAGTCTCCTGAACAGAATCAAAGTTTTCCGATCGAAAAATATTGATTTCAAAAATTCTATATCATTTGTATGAAAATTTGTTTTTCCCCATATAAAATATAAGGAAATCTTTGAGCGCTTTGAGCGACCACTTAATATTTTTTTATTTCAACATAAAAACGAGGTATAATTATTTTCGGTTTAGAACAATCCTAGGGCATTAAAATTCTGACTTTACTTTTTCACATGCATATTCGGACCAGCCTAATGTACATACTCGTGTTTATATAAAATCAATAAAACAAAAACACCCATTGCTTAATGGGTCATCATTTATTATTAACTTTTTTTGAATACAACGATTACAATCGTACCCCCAACATATGTATATATGTGTATTAGAGTGGTTCACAAAATTTTTTTTTTTGGAAATTCATAAGCGCTATTGTTATTTATGATAAAAAAAGAGAAACGGTTTATTTATTTTGAAAAAAAAGTTTTCTTAGAGGTCGCGCTGGTCGGTTTTTTATAAAAACGCGGATGTTCTCAATTTTTTTATTTTCTTGATATGTTAAAATGCAGCTAAAAATGTGGTTTTTACATATAATTACTCTGGTATTATTGGGGAATTTTCCCTTACACAACAAATCCAATCATTTTTTTTTTTTAATTTACCGCCATTTTGGATCCGCCCATTTTGAATTTCGAAAAACTGACTTCAGATTCCTAATTAGCAACCCCAGAAACCCCTTGGTAACAAGTGCCAATCCATGACAATGCGCAAATCGTTCAGTATCAACGTTTTAATTTTACTAGTGTCTTTTCGAGAGCATATTTTCGGGAACTAGACCCATTCTAATTGTCCAAGACAGGTGTGTAATTAAGGGAAGGTTCCCCAATAATACCACAGTAATTATATGTAAAAACCACATATTTAGCTGCATTTTAACATGTCAAGAAAATAAAAAAATTTAGAACATCAGCGTTTTTATAAAAAAACGACCACCGCGACCTCTAAAAAAACTTTTTTTTTCAAAATAAAAAAATACGTGTCTCTTTTTTTATCACAAATAACAATATTCTGATGTAGCGTTTATGAATTTCCAAAAAGAGTGTTTTTATGAACCACTCTAATGTGTATGTATGTTTGTACCTGCCGTTGTTGGTTGACATGAAAACATAATAGGTGGCGTTAACTAATACAAAAACGTCAACAAAGCAAAACTCGAAAAAGAGCACAAAAGAATAAGCAGAAACATAACGACACACGAGTGGTTTTTTGTTGTAAGTATTTACACTCCGCTTCACCGGAATAAGTGCATACTTTTTTTTCTTCAAAATCCAGACTGTTCCGAAGGGTGGTGGAAAAAGGAATTTCCTCTTATACTTTGTTTTTTACTTTTTACCTGTTTTTTGCTTACTAGTGCGGACCATGGAATACATACCATGTTACCTGTGGCCTTACAGCCAGAATAAAAAAGTTCGTTATTCACTGTTCGCTGTCACTACAAAAGCGCAAATCTTGCCTGCCCACCTATTTTCCACCACGTAGTCTATAACTGTGAGGATTGGATACCGGCGTTCAGCCTCAGGGAACTCAACATTGGAGTAGCTTTTCGGCACAGGTAATAATGGCTTACTATCCCGTAAAATACATTAATGTCATGACCTCTACCCCCAGCAATTTCCGCTTTAATTCACACTGAATTATGCCATTATCAATTTCTTTTAGTGGTTAGTTCGAGATGTCCTCTATGGAGCAGACCATATATAACTACGTCTTGCCAAAGTTATATGTACATATTTGTATTGCCGGAATGCTATTGAAGTTTTGGAGGTCTTTTGTTCACCTAAATAGTTCACTTCTTAAGGTATCGGAATT